TTAGAGAGCCAGACCCCCAGCATGATTGCTTTCTCAAAAATCGATGAGGCATCGTTCTCCGAATCAATCGAAGAGGCGCTCGCTTTCTCAAAAGCTGGGCTGCTCAGAGACCACGAGGGCCGATCTCAGAAATCGAAGAGCCACCTACTTTTCTAGCCTTGTCAGCACCTGTCACACGCACACTCAGCTTTGCAGAAATTATGGGCATTTCTGTCGAAGACTTCTGGTGAAGTAGAAAGCACATGAATCTTACTGTTCAATCACCCACTTCCCACACGCAACAATAGCTCATGGGTACCACAGATAACTTTGCCAAAGTTCTCTGCCAAAGTTGAGCACGTGAAGCTTGCAGCTCCCACTACATCGCTCTGACCAAGAAAGGTAAAAGAATAGCAAAGAAATAGCACTAACAAAGTTTAGACACAAATTTTGAAGGTCTAGCTACCATATTATTACCCACAAGGGTAAAGGAACAGTACCACTGCTGGATAATTGGAAAGTCCCTGTGTGTCAACCTCTGTGCTTCGTGGCAAGGTAGACTAGCAAACATGCCCAACCTTTACTCACATTCGAGAAAACACTCCCAACAAGATTGCTTGCTCCAAAATCGAAGAGGCACCGTCCTCCGAATCTCGAGAGCCAGACTCCCAACATGACTACTTTCTCAAAAGCGAAGAGAGGGTAAAGGAACAGTACCATTGCTGGATAATTGGAAAGTCCCTGTGTGTCAACCTTTGTGCTTCGTGGCAAGGTAGACTAGCAAACATGCCCAACCTTTACTCACATTCGAGACAAACACTCCCAACAGGATTGCTTGCTCCAAAATCGAAGAGGCACCGCCCTCCGAATCTCGAGAGCCAGACTCCCAACATGATTACTTCCTAAAAAATCGAAGAGACACTGCTCTCCCGAATCTCGAGAGCCAGACCCCCAGCATGATTGCTTTCTCAAAAATCGAAGAGGCATCGTTCTCCGATCTCGAGAGCCAGATACCACAGACACACTTTTTCAAAGTGCTCTGACAGAGTTAAAACATGTGAAACTGGCAGCTCCCACTACCGTGCTATGACCAAGCAGGGTAAAGGAATAGCATTACTACTTGTTGTTAGGGAGACTCCTATATATGTCGACCTCCATCCCCAACGGACAGGCAGACCTGCAAAAATGCTCAACCCTTCATCATATCTGAGAGGGCACTCCCAACGAAGCCTTTCGAAATATTCAGCTTTCTTTCCCCCCGATAATACCTCTGCAAACAAGCTATACTAGAGCAAGAATATCTCATATCATCAGGGTTAAAAGCAAGAGTATCCCATATCATGCTTTTTCCCTGTCTTTTCCTTTGGCCTTGTTTTACCTGCAAGACAAGGAGAAAGAGAGCAATCAGTCAGCACTTGGAATCAAGCTTCCAGCCAGGAACTGACTGCCTGGAACCCCTTACCTGATTACTTACCTGGCATTGCTCTCGAGTACTCATCTTCAACATCTTATGTTTCCAGAGGAAGATTCCGCATCTGCTTGAGGAACAGATAGGGCAAGTGCGAAGGATACAAGGAAGCATGTGGAGACAAGCGTAACAGCACACGTGCCGATACATCCATTACTCTGTCAAAAGCAAAAGTATCCCATATCAGCAGGGTGGAACGTACTCTAGATTTGATGGACTTGTTTTGACCCTCAAATTCTTCAGTCGGCCTTATACTCTGGAGGAAACCAACCCTCCAGCTCAGTTCAAGAATAAGCCTGTGGAAAGTTACTTCTTCAAAAGCAAAAGTATCTCATATCATCTCTTCTCATTTTTCTTCTCTTTATCCTTCATGCTGCTGCAAGATGGGGAGAAGGTGAACAATCAGTCGGAGCTCTGATTGCTTACCTTGTCTGTCACCTCTTTCAGCAGACCCCCTAGCTCGGCGACTTGGGGGACTCCTACTACATGGTTTGTATCGCGCTTGACCAAGCCTGAAACTACAAGTAAGCTTCAAGTGAAATTGATACATTACCTTGTGCATCTCCACCAGTTGAAGATACCACCCCTGGATGGAGGAAGAGTACTTCCAGAGAAGATGCCACATCTACCTATGAGACAGATAAGGCAAGTCAAGACGACACCACACTCCGATACTTAGAAGTTTCGTGATTACGAGATCATTCTCCCACAATATTTCCTAATGTCATTTGTACTAAATCATTCACTTGTACTCACTAAAGGAGAGCTTAAACCTATGTACTTGTGTAAACCCTTCACAATTAATGAGAACTCTTTTATTCCGTGGACGTAGCCAATCTGGGTGAACCACGTACATCTTGTGTTTGCTTCCCTATCTCTATCCATTTATATACTTATCCACACTAATGACCGGAGCAATCTAGCGAAGATCACAAAAAGCGACCGTTTTCGCTACCTAGGATCTATCTTGCAAGAGAACGGAGAATTAGATGGAGATCTCAACCATGGAATACGAGCTGGATGGATGAAGTGTAAGAGTGCATCCGGCGTGTTGTGTGACCGTCATAAGCCACTGAAGCTCAAGGGAAAATTTTATAGGACGGCAATAAGGCCAGCAATGTTGTATGGCACAGAATGTTGGGCGGTGAAGCATCAACACGTACACAAAATGAGTGTAGCGGAGATGAGGATGCTTCGTGGGATGTGTGAGCACACGAGAAAGGATAAGATTGGGAATGAGGATATCCGAGGTAAAGTAGGAATAGCCGAAATTGTAGGAAAGATGAGAGAAAATCGGCTCCGGTGATTTGGACATGTGCAAAGAAGGCCGACTGACGCTCCGGTTCGAAGATGTGACTACGGGACAGAGGTTCAGGGCCGAAGGGGTAGAGGAAGACCTAGGAAAACTTTGGAAGAGACTCTAAGAAAAGACTTAGAGTACTTGGATCTAACGGAGGACATGACACAAAACCGAGCGCAATGGCGTTCTAGGATTCATATAGCTGACCCCACTTAGTGGGAAAAGGCTTTGTTGTTGTTGTTGTTGTATATCTAGGAGTGACTCCAATTATCTAATTATATGTTTTTTTTTCTTTTATTCTCCTTTTATATTTTCTAAAAATATTAAAAATCAATTAAATCTTTTAATATTATGCATTTTTCAACTCCAAAATATCTAATTAATATCTTATAAACAAAAAAAAAAATTAATATACTAACATAAATCTATCTGCAAAACATTCTACCCTAACTCAAGTAGCAAAATATATGAATGTATATTATATTTATAAGTGAGACATGAAACCTAACTAAAAGGTAGAAAAAAACATAATATACCTACAAGCAAGACACATTAATCTGTGACAGATTAACTATGAAAAAGAATATGTCATATAGGTAGATAAATACAATTAACCTGTGATATAGGTTGATTATAAAAATTAAAAAAAAAATCTATAAATGGGTTAAAACAGGAGGAAGAACAAGAAATAACAAAAAAAATATAGAAAAAGAGATAATTAGGAAGAAATTTGATTTTTACAATAAGTTTTTTCTTTTAAGAGATAATTATTGATAATAAAATAATTAAATTTAAAGAATTTGACTTATTTTAATAAATTTGACCTTTCCTACTATTGGCTCAAAAAATTGGAGTTATATCAAGTTTCCCTTTTTTAAAAAAGATTCGTCTTTGTAGCAATCGCTCCTTTTAGCACTCTCCAGATAAAATTTCTAATTTTAGGAGGGGCCTCTAATTTCCAAATATATCTTCATACCTGATTGTTGATTTGCAATGATGATGTGTGATGTCGGAGTCTGCTTCTGATGTTGGACTTGATAAAAGAACACAAATCCTTTGGACCAAATCGAAGAAGTTCGGAGTAGCTTCGGGTGTGGGTTTGTTTTGCTTCGGGTTTGAGAGTGATTTGCTTCGGGTTTTCGTGGGTTTGGAGTAGCTTCGGGTGGGTTTGTTTTGCTTCGGGTTTGAAGGTGATTTTGCTTGCGGATGCAACTGACGCGCAGCAAGTTCTCAGAAGGTGTGACGACAACCTCTAGTCCTACGTGATAGAGCCATCTGGCCGTTGAAGTAGAGCCGACAACCCTACGAGATTATGCAAGTAGTAGTATATATAGAGCAACTCTGGATCAAGTTTTTCCTAAATATTCTCTCTGAATTCTGAAACACCGAATACAATTAGTATCTATTTGCTAGGAGGATGCAAATATTTAATGTCATGTATTTCTCCAACAATCATTTGTTCGTGGATGTTAACGTTGCAGCACTACAGGCTAACCGCCGTCACGCACACCGCAACAATATTCTTGCGTTTGTCATTCCGACAATCCTAACGTTGGTCCAAATGAGATATCCTCAACAGGATCTGTTGCAAACAAACCCCACACTCACGATTATTACCATATCGAGCGTTCTTGCGTATTGCTTTGCATTTGCCTTACTCGAGCTGCTACTACTATTTACAAGCAGCGACACCGCTACTAGTAGTACTAGCACAAATGAACTTATAATTTGCTGGTGCCGCACGGCCATGATGGTGTTTGGTTCAGTCTCAGTTGCTTCACTTTTATGGCTTCTGCTTTTCCACCACCCCCGTTCCTGGGGACCTGTGATGTATCTGATTTTGTGCTTGGCTTTTCTGGTGGTGGTGCATTTGGCCCCGAAAGCGGTGCTGCCGATGGGTAACCTACTCCTTGAACGAGGCCGGGGTCTAAGGGCAAGTCGACTCTTGCCCCTCACTACAATGGATTTGTCTTTAAGATAATCAGAACGTCTAACAACTTATGTTGTTTTGACATGGAAGTTATTTGGTGTAAACCCAGCTTTACTCTGAAAGTTATTGTAAGTGCTGATTTTTTTATTTTTTTATTTTATTTTTTTGTCAATTAAGTTCTGATCTATGTTGCTGATCTATGGCTAGCAATTAATGAACGAAAGAGGCAAGTTTTTTTTTTTTCTATTTTTGAGATGTAGTACGATATACATTGATGAAAGATTGAAAACGTACAAAAATAAAGATATAGTGCTAATAATGCGTCTCGATAAAAATCTTGTCTGGAATTTCAATCTGGACTAATGGAAAAAGAGGGTTGCACACCAAGCAACTTATATAACACTGCTATCCTCAAAAAGAGTATCAGAAAGTAACATTTGGAGGTTCTTCGAACCAAGTTACTTAGGTAAATATTTAATTACAAGAGATCTAAAATACAAAATAAATACATACAATTGGATGGGGATTGAAGTTGGAACACCTAAAACACCGGAGATGCAACTTGCTGCTGATTAGTGTCACTAAAAATACAAATCGTGTCTTTTGGCCATGCAAATAATTAGTGGGCACTCTCCGATACCCAACTTGAGACCGTACTTTCGTCCACTGGTTTTGGTCCGCCGCAAGACCTTGAGACATCCAAATAGTTTTTCAATCTCCGGCGCACATCTGATTCTGAAAATTTTTTAAATAGCAATTTAGAATGTTTTCAGATTGCAAAGTTTGTGTTTCTTTTTATTTTCCATTTTTGGAAGGACAGGAAGTTACCTTGATAAGCTCAACCAAGGTAATCCGAAGACCCCATGGATGAGGTGGTTAACAATCAGACGTTCCAACAATACCCTTGTGATCTGCTCCTGGATAATTTCATGCTGAAGTAAAAGAAATAACTTCCAACAGTTAGAAGATGCAGCTCAATCGTAATTGATATGAAAACAATCTAAGAATATGCATTAGGGGACGTCCCCATAAAATTTTCAACAAAAAGAACAGACGACTATCATAGAGCAAATATGAAGCATCTAAGTTGTCGCACCTGGTTTGATTCAGCAAACAAGTACAAAACAATGAAGGAAACGTAATGGGTATGGGTGTTTGGATAACGCAGTAGGTTCGCAGTTGCATTTACGAAAAGGTAGCGCCCTTCAGTATCTAGGTCCAATATCAGAGTCTGAAAAATATCCAGAGCAGCACCCACCAAATGGACAGTCAATGGAACAGTTTGGGTAGATTGCGCATTGGGGCATTCTAGCCTGAAGCTGCTGGATAGCCTGTAAAATCAACCCAAAATATAAGCACCAGGCTGTCCGCTCAAGTCAAGTCAAGACCATCTCTTGATACAGATATAGTCATGAAGGCCTTTAGATTTCGGATTCGTAAAATTATGCCCCCACTGCATTCTTGCTCCCTCTTAGTGAAGCACAACAGTACTAGAACGTGGCAATCAAGAAATCTTGCATACCAGTGAATTTTTATAGTGAACATTTATGGAAACTAATGGACTACATGTAAGTTTCAATACTACATAACAAGGACTGATGTTAAACAAAGCATTAGAACAGTTGGATGTTGTAGCACAATCCAGCATAAGAACAAGTACCTGCATCCCAACATAAAGCACAAGGGAGTTGATCAGGGGTACATTGTAACGAGTACCAGCTGGGGCAACTTCGCTTGGTAAATGCTTCAGTTCAGTCAGAAATGAAGAACCCTGTTGCATTGTCTGTCAAGTATTTTGAAACAATGTTTAAGAATGATAAAATGTTATAACAAGAAAACCACAATGGGAACCCAATGAGGAGATGTTGGATGAAATAGTTTCTATTCTGTAAAACTTTTAGCCACACACCCAAACCAAAGCCTTACCACGAATCTCACTACAGAAATATAATCCCCAACACAACCAATAGCAACAATGTAAGGAAAAATAGAGCACGGTAAAAGGGATGAATCAGATCTACATTACGATTCTTACTTTTGATATCCAACATATACAAAATCTTTTACAGCATAAATACTCTCGCAACTTGGTGCCTCACGCGACATGAAAACATAGAGGTGAGGTAAGCTTTTCCCAAATGGTTAGTTTGTTGAAATTTTAAAGTGGGAAGTGTGACACTAACCTTAACAACACAACAACAATAACAAAGCCTTATGCCACTAAGTGGGGTTGGCTATATGAATCCTAAAACACCACTGCGCTCGGTTTTGTGCCATGTCTTCCGTTAGATCCAAGTAGTCCAAGTCTTTTCCTAGATTCTCTTTCCAAGCCTTCCTAGGTCTTCCTCTACCCTTTTGGCCCTGAGCCTCTATCTTGTAATCACATCTTCTAACCGGAGCATCTGTAGGCCTTCGTTTGACGTGTCCAAACCACCTCAACTGATCTAATCTTGACACTGATCTTAACAATAAAGAAAAAAAAAATATTCTAGTGAAAAATATTAATGTGATACAGAAGAATCACAGCCTTATGTCATTATTTAGAAAGAAATGAAAACACCTATAAATGTCCTATTCAAGCCTGATGGGTGTACGGGACATATTGGAGTGGCAAATGAACATACAAACTAAAGCAAGAGAAGCAAAGCAATGTATAAAATATTACAATGTGAATTAGAAATGAAATAGCAATCAGAAAGATTATCTTGAATTCCACCAAGAAGCCAATTACAGATGCAAATGTTAATCCCAATGTTAAACCCAACATGCAGAAATGTTTCCTGACATGGTACATATATATAATATATAATATATATATATGTATATATACTTTTTTTTGTGAAGAAACGATAACAATTTATTGAAATAATAACATGAATTACAAAACAGTGGATAAGAAATTCACCATCTAGCAAAACTAGCTAAGACCTCTCAAGTAGATCTATTTACAAGTAACTAAAACTGAACCAAAATCATTTTACGGCTGCTAACATATCCCATACTATATGAGAGAGAATAATCCCTGAACTCATAAACTGATGCCCAGAGGGCTGACCAGTATCTTACTGTACCCCATAGTTCTTCTAGCCCCACTCCATTATAATCCTCATAAACTCTTCTATTACGCTCCAACCAAATGTTCCAAAAAACTGCCAACACCAAACAGCCCCACAAATTATGTAAGGAAGGACTGACAAAGAACTGGCTCACACATTATGCAAGGAAGGACTATCAAAGAATCTCTGAAAATGCAAGTGCAATCCAAAAGCACTGAGTTTCGGGTTGATAACCACGTGAGTTGCAATATTAGATAATGGTGTGGGAAGCTGCAAAAGACCAGAGATCCAGCCAAGAAGAGGATCAGGGGACGAAAACTAACTAGAAGGTAATTAATTTCTAATAGACCAGACACACACACAAACATCTCATAAAAAGGTCGTACCCAGTGCACAAGGCTCCCGCTTTACGCAGGGTCTGGGAGAGGTGAATGTCGGCTAGCCTTACCCCCATTTATGGAGAGGCTGCTCCCCAGTCTCGAACCCGAGACCTACCGCTCATGGGCGAAGGCACTTGCCATCGCACCAAGTGCGACCTCTGTACACAAACATCTCATACAAAAACAAAATATTGAAGTGGTAACAGTCCTTGAGCAGGAAACACCTTTTCATCCTCAATTAAGGGTGCCTGCTCATGGAAGGAACCTCAAAAGTGGGAGCCAAATGCATCCCTCTGTACTTCTTGTCATCGATGCAGCTGAGGAGAGAGAGAGAGAGAAGAAACTGCAAATTTGGTGAAAATAAGCAATTGTGTAGTAAAACAGAAAGATGCTTTAGCCTTTTCAGACTAAAAGCTTGCAACTAATAGCGTGTCGACACCCACACTTATCAATTTATACATAAATTTGAATTTGAATCATTTGGGCTTCAAAAAAATTGCACAGAAATCCAGAAGAAGATGAAAATTGAAGCAAACCATATGCACTGGGCAATTGAGACTCACCCAAAACAAGCAAAACTCATTTACCATGGAAGATTATCACAAAATCGCAAGACTCGGGCAATCTAAAATTGAGTGGGTTCTACAGGATGGAAGATAACCCCATTTCAGATATCTCTCAAAAATCAAAACCCCATTGAAGATTTTGCGGTTTTGATTCAAATTTCAATAATTAAAAAATAAATTATAAAAAAAAAATCATTAAAATTTAATAATGGTCACAAATGTAAATAAAATTAAAATTAGAAACTAACAAAATTCATCTATAAGATATGGGTAAGAGTTCTCGCACATCTCTCCTATTACCGGGAAATCTACAGAAGTAATAATGGGAAGGTGAAAATGAAATCTTAGGGGTTTGCTAGCTCGTGTGTCCACGGGACAAATACCATTTGAGTTCGTCGATATGTGCAAGCAAGCATAGCGAATCACATAGATAAGCCCCTACCTGCCAGCGGGCGGATTGATAGAGCAAGCGAAGCGCAAAGAGGATAGATGTCTGAGAGGTTGAAAGAGTCGGGACCATGATAAGCTCAATGAAGATAATCAGAAGACCCCATAGACGAGGCTGGTTAACAATCAGACGCTCCAACAATACCCTTGTGATTTGCTCCTGCATAATTTCATGCTAAAGTAAAAAATAACGTCAACAGTTGCAAGATGCAGCTCAATTGTAATTTATATGAAAACAATCTAAGAACATGCATTAGGGGACGTCCCCATAAATTTTTCAATAAAAAGAACAGATGACTATCATAGAGCAAATATGAAGCATCTCAGTTGTCTCACCTGGTTTGATTCAGCAAACAAGTACAAAACAATGAAGAAAAAGTAATGGGTATGGGTGTTTGGATAATGCAGTTGGTTCGCGATCGCATTTAGGAAAAGGTAGCGCCCTTCAGTATCTAGGTCCACTATCAGAGTCTGAAAAATATCCAAAGCAGCACCCACCAAATAGACAATCAATGGAACAGTTTGGGTAGATTGCGCATGAGGCGTTCTAGCCTGAAGCTGCTGGATAGCCTGTAAAATCAACCCAAAATATAAGTACCCGACGGTCCGTTGTCCTCAAGTCAAGACCATCTCTAGATAGATATAGTCATGAAGGTCTTTTGATTTCGGATTCATAAGTTTTAATACTACATAACAGGGACTGATTTTAAACAGAAAAGCATTAAAACAGTTGGATTTCGTAGCACAATCCAGCATAAGAACAAGTACCAGCATCCCAACATAAAGCACAAGGGAGTTGATCAGGGGTACATTGTAATGAGTACCAGCCGAGGCAGCTTCGATTGGTAAAAGGAGCAACTTTTGCTTCAGTTCAGTCAGAAATGAAGAACCTTGTTGCCTTGTCTGTAAAGTATTTTGAAACAATTAGCATGATGAAATATTTATAGAAGATAAAAAAAAATCCATGTAAGAGAATAGAAAGTCCAATCCAAATAGTAAAGGATTATTTAATGTCAAAACAAATTAGACGAACGAAATAGTAAAAGATTACTGGCCAAAAGTCAGCATATCTTGAGATACTCGTCCACATCAGCTTTCATCTGCTTTGCTATTAGAGCTGCATCAACCTCAGAAAGAATAAATGGAGACTGGCTGATTTCAGCAAGCAAATCAATCTGCATATATGCAGAGACAAACCAGTCCCCACCAGATCAGTTTTTATAACCTAACAATGTTACAAATACAAAATAAATATGCAAGATTGTCAACCACCTTTAAGTTGGGAGTAGATGGATCTGGTAGCCTCATATTACGGGGAAATGCATTGAGGATGATATTTCGCATTTGAATGCAGCTTGGAGGGATTACATCACAGAAAGTAAAATGATAATCACAAAGGAACTCCGGGAAATCATGAAGTAGCACTAGCAGCACCCTAAGTGTTATTGGAGCATAAGCATGGCAGCTGAATCAAGCCACTGATGCAGCTATGTTGAAGAAGAAGAAGAAGAAGTTCGAATTTTAGCTAAGTGTATGTTTATAGTTGAAGTTATAAACTTGTAATGAACGGTCAAGATTATAATATCTTAATGGTGTATAAATTGACACGTGTCTAGTTTGTTAAAGAGTTAAATGAATGCATGTGTTTCGCACGTGATCATAGTCACGGTGCTTTGGTGGGTTTGCAATGGCTATAATGCCTTGTCTGTTGCCGAGTTTTGGGGATCGAATCCAAAAAGGTTCATGGAGCTATGAACTCCATTTCTGTGTGAAACTCATCTTTGTAATTCCTTCAATATCAGCTCAATTACCGATTGATTTGATTACAAAAAACAAAAAAAAACAGAAGAAATACTGCTGCAAACAATGAAATCCAGAAGAGAAAAGAGGCAGACTGGAACTCCAAGTTCAGCATTCCTCAAAAATGGCTCCATGAATTGAAACAAATGTACCAGCAAACCTTGGATATAGGGCCAAACCTTCTGACCATTTCCAGCAAGCATTTTTGGCTTGAAACTCCTATGACTCACCAACTCAAGCCATGCAAAGCTGATAAAGGATTTTCTCAGAATCGAAATGCACAGTTCCAAGGAATATTAAGATCAAAGTCTATTCTTACACATATCCTCATATTTGACTTGTGTACACCGACACTGAACTAAAATGTTTACATACAAGAATGTGATTACACAAACAATAGAAGAAAGAACGGAGAGAATAGAAAAAGCGATAAGCAAGAGGCAAAATTGAGGGAGAAAGAGTAAGTAACAAAGTTTTGCGATTTCAAAATATGGATCAAGAAGAGACACCCATGGACTAGTTACAAGGGACAGTCCAAACTTAACTCGAAGCCAATCCCCAATTAAATAAAATTCCAAAAGTGTCGTCCAGTGAAAAATAGTAACAACCTAGAAGTTCATAATCACAGAACCAAATAAACATTAAATAAAATTCCAAAAGTGTTGTCCAGTCAAAATTAGTAACAGCCTAAAAGTTCATAATCACAGAACAAAAAGAACATATAATATACCACTACAACCGTACAAGCAACAATTTCCTTATCATAACAACTCGTTTCATTTCCTACCAATGATGGAATAGCAATAAGTATAACTGACGCCAACCTGAACGTAGGAACCTTAGGGGGCTGCAAAGCATGAAATGCATTTGCAAATGCTGTCAGTATCTGCGACATAGAAACCAACATTAGCGATAGAGGCAAAAATGACAAACCAAAGGAACAAGGGACCCCAGAGGTCCAGACCTGAAAGTTAGCACCATCAATCACAGGATCCAAAGAACCAAGGTCTAGAAGCCAGTTAACAAACTATCTAAAATACGATCTTCGATTGAAAGATGTTTTCTTCTCCTCTGCATCCGTTTGAATGAATCCCACTGTGATTGCTAAAATCTGCCCAAGTGTCAAACAATCAGCCAAATGAATATTTCTTTTTGAGAAAATCAGCGACAAGAATTATTGAATAAGCAATAAAAACAAGATTCAATCAAACGAAAAATTTACTCTGTACTCACCTTAGACAAGAGAAATAGTTTACTTGATCCCTGCTCCAACAGATAATCCATAGTTAAATTAGGTCCAGGAATCATAAAGAGCATAAAACATACTTACAAAGGAATAATTACCTTCAAAATTAAGAAGACAAGTTTAGCATAGATATCAATAGCAAGGAAGGAGATATTCTGCACTTGTTGAGGTGTTTGCAGTGAGCCTGGAATTGTCATCTCAGAAGATAGGCAGTATGCAACAGATAGCTCCTGAAAATGAGTAACAGAAAATATGCTTTATAGCACTACGTATCATTCTGAAAGCAAGCCAATTTAGGAATTGAGAACTCACTGTGAGGACACGGAAAAACCGGTCTGTCATATCATCCCCCTTCAGCAGACCACTTTGATGCAACTGCAAGATAAAATGGGCACAAGCTGCATCGGCACAAGGAAGTTCGCAAATGGGCACAAGCTGCATCGGCACCAGGAAGTTCGCAAATCCAGTACCACTTGGCAAACAGCATAGACACCTACAGGATATCCACAGAAGTCGAACCACTTCAAAAAAACACTTCATATGTGCCTAGAAAGATTTCCTTTTGTACTTCTTGTAAATAGAGAGAGAAGAAACTGTAAATTTGGTGAAAATAAGCAATTGGGTAGTAAAAAAGAAAGATGCTTTAGCCTTTTAAGAAGCTGAATGCTTGCAACTAATTGGGTGTCGACACCCACACTTATCAATTTATACATAAATTTGAATTTGAATTATTTGGGCTACAAAAAATTGCACAGAAATCCGGAAGAAGATGAAAAATGAAGTAAACTACATGCACTGGGCAAGTGAGACACCCAAAACATGGGAAATACCTGCATAAAAGTATTAACACATTAAGTAAACGAAACCCAAACAAACAATCCAACGGAAAATTTGAAGCTCATATCAAGCACAGCAAACGAAACAAAAACAAACAATCCAACCGAAAATTTGAAATTCAGACCAACCGAGACAAACAAAAGTCATTTACCATGGAAGATTATCACAAAATCGCAGGACTCAGACAATCTAAAATCCAGTGGGTTCTACGGGATGGAAGAAAACCCATTTCAGATATCTCTCAAAAATCAAAACCCCATTGAAGATTTTGCGGTTAATATTCAAATTTCAATAATTAAAAAAAATATTATATATATAAATCATTAAAATTTAATAATGGTCACAAATGTAAATAAAATTAAAATTAGAAATTAAAAATATAAAACCCAAAAAGTACAAAATAAGCAAGAGTTAACTGGCTGAGCTCCACACCTTGATCGTCGTTAGCCGCCGGCAAGGCGGGAGCGTTCGTACATCTGCTGCTTTCTCCAGCATTCACACGATGGCGGTCGATGGTGGACCTTCCACACCAGCGGTTCTCGGTGTCATATCTAATTGTTGAATCCCACATCGCCAGATGGTTAAAAGAACTTTAACTAACATCGAGGTTGTTTTTGGTAAAATCTCACACTTAACATATTGCGCAGGTAGTAAACCAAATTGGGGACAGTATCAATATTTTGAATTGGGGCCCTGACGTGTTGATATGAAAAATTCAACATGGTATCAGCCACGTGATTAGGTGGGTCCTTTTTGGCCCCATACAATGGGTAAGTCCTGATATGGTCGACATGGTTCCACGTAGGCCAAGAGTGCCATGTGATGAGATGGGTCCTCGTTGGCCCCGCGTGATAGGTGAGTCCCGACTTGGCTCCACGTGGTTGGGTGGGTCCTCTTGGGCCTATGCAATTATGGGTGGGCTAACGAGTATAGGAACCACGGGTGGAGGCAAGTAATCAAGGTTCGGGATGGGTACGGGCTGGTTCTAAATTTTTAATAAGAGAAACGAGGCGGGTGGGGCAATGAAATTTTAAGGGCGGACCAGCGAATTCTGAGAACGGGTCTGGGTCAGCTCGGGCTTGGACAAGACGAGGTCCTGGAGCAATTTGAGGAAGGCAGCAATGAGGTGCGAAACGTCGTCGCTTTCTGAGTCGAAGTCTGAATCAAAGGAAATGATGCGGTTCACGGTTAGGATGAGCAAGTTGAATCGCTTGGAAACGGTGCGGCAGCGGATGAGGGTTAGGTCCGGTTCTTCCAAATTTGGACCCGACCTGGCCCATGCCCACGTGGAAGGGTCAGATTTCCAATACCTGGCCCGGCCCAGCCTAGCCCGTCCCATTTCCTTTTTAAGCAGGTCCAGTCCGATCCTTCCAAATTTGGACCCGACCTGGCCCATACCCACCCCTACATGCGATGGGTGAGTCCCAACATGGTTCCACGTAGGCCAAGAGTGCCCACGTGATGGGGTGGGTTCTTGTTAGCCCCGCATGATGGGTGAGTCCCGACTTGGCTCCACATGGTTGACAATGTGTGAATCTCCACGTGTGACCCACAAAAATGGGGTTTCACGTGCGGGGGCGTGTTAAATCCTACATCAGTCAGAGGGCCAAAAAAAAAAAGAAGGGTTTAAATAGAATTACCCCATTCTAATTAACATCAAGGCATTTTGTGATAAAACCTCACACCTGACGGTTTGGGCAATGGTAATTACAAAGTTGGGGACTGTCGATGTTGTTAGAGTAGGACCCTCGGCCCGTCGACCTAAAAAATTCAACACTAATTATCAATTATTTCTCTCCGCTGTTTGTAAAATAGGAAAAATTGCAGAAGGAAGAAATTAGAAAATTAGAAAAATGGTGAGAAATTAGTAGGAGGAGCTAGAGAGGAAGAAGACAAATAGGCGTTGAGAATCAGGTCTACCTCTTCTCTTTCTACTAAAAAAAATGAAATAATAGGATTACTTTACAGAATCTGGAACCAATAAAAGAATTTACAAATCAAGAAAGTTACCACTGTCTACACTGACACCAACTTCATGCAAACAACTACTGTCACCGTGTCAACGAATAATCATCCATAAGTTGAAACCCCCAAAATTACAAAAAAGAAAATTTAAACACAAAATTCATCTGTAAATCAAAAACCACACAAAAAATAAATAAATCAGGCACATTGAGAAAGACGCAAAACTCACCAGGAGAAGCTAGGTTATGTGTAAACCCGAATTAAAAAAGGGCAAAAACATATAGCAGCTCAATGGTTTCCAACGAAAGAAATTCGTAGGAGTCGAGCAGTTTTTCGGCAAGAAAAAACAGCGTCAATAATCGGCGCGAGAAAGAAGGCAAGGCTGGACAGGGAGAAAAACGACGAGGTGGGAGAGAAAAATGCAGGTTCCGAAATACATAAAAGATGAGAACAGTGAGAGAGAAGCGAAATCTAGAAGAAGCCAAAGGGGATGCCCGGCGATGGTGTACTGGCTAGGAGGGCAAAGCCGTCTTTTCGCTATGTAAAAATTGGAAAAAAATTAGAGTGCTAACCCCCCGGGGTGTTTTATCTCCCACTCACATAAAATAACAATTTTATTGACAAATTTATCCTTGTATAAAATGACTTTCAAAGACCTAAAGACCAACCAATTATATATTGACACCCTATAATAGTTATATTGACAAAATAACCTAAAATATCATAAATGAAAAAAAGGAAAAAACAAAATGTTTGAGGCAATGAACAAGGCAGCTTTGGTAGAAACATCTGCTTTGATCGAGTCATTGACGGAGAAGAAGAGGCCGAGAATTTAGCAGAGGAGACGAGCATGTCGAAGAACGAGATCGTGGGCAACGACGACTTTAACATTGTCCAGAATCGATTGGAATTGTCGGACAGAAAGCTTACAAATCCTTTGGCAGGAGAAGTGCATTGTTGTTACAGTTCATAAACAAATTCGGCATTTCAATTAGAGTTCTAAGTTGTTATAATTCCTAGTGTGATAAAAATGTTGAGAATTGCAACTGGATAGTTTTGGAACATCCATAAATTAATATAACCATGTTTCTGAGCCTTATGGGATGTACCATAAAAAAAAAAAGAATAATAATAATATCATAAACCTTTCATCCTCCACACTTAGAACCCCGATCGTATTTGGTTAGGAACAATTTGGAAACGATAAATATGGGTACAAGAGCGGTTTTCTAAACGTGGTAGTGCTGCGATAGTAGGCGACCGAGGAGGGGCGTTGGATGTTGGTGGTGGTGATATTTGGAGTTGTTGGGTAATTTTGTTATGATAATTATTTTTGAGGTGTAATATCCACCCATACCATTTTACTTCTCACACACATTTTTAATTTTCGATCGTCAGATCGGATGAATTAAAGAAAATCAACGGACATAAATTATCAAGGGGTGTGAGAAGTAAAATATGGTGTGTGGATAACACACCACACACCCCTTATTTTTTACAGCAAGGGTTATTTTGGAAATAATGGTGGGTGGGGAAAGAGTTTATGTGTTTTGTCACTTTTGATTGTAGGTGTAAATATAAAGTGGATGGGGAGATGAGGCATTGGGACGAGCATAGCACCACTCAAAAATTGATGATAACAAAGGAATTGGAGGGCACTTGAGTCTGTTTACTGTTAGTGAACGGTACTTTTTGCTTGGGTTTTTTTAGTATAGGCATAATTTGCTAACACTTGGGTATACTCCCTCATGTTTAAGGTATTTATCCGAACTTAGGAGGGTCCTTAACCTCTTCATACCTTAAAAATCATTCATTGTAAGATATCTTGGATGTACTGCCGATTTAGTCCCAGAATTATCACCTCAATGAAAATTAAGTCCTTGAAGTATTTTTTCGGTAAAATAAATCCCTAAATTCATAAAAATTGCTAATTTTATGCTTAATATTATATTGAAAGCTACTTTATCTATTTTTTTGTTTACTTAAGTCACATGACACATTTTTTAGGGTAACACCATCATTTTCTTGCCTATAAAACCTTAACATTGCATATAGATTGCGAATCTAGCGTCTAATTTACCCTCAAAAGTTAAGTCTATATTCTACTTCTTCAGGAAAAAAAAAAAAGGTCCTTAAACTATGCAAAATTACCAATTTACCTTCCAAAGTGAATCACATGCAAGTCACTTGACTTAGATTGACGAAAAATTAAATAGAATAACTTTGAATTTAATATTAGGGATGTAATTGGTAGATTTTTATTAGTTTAAGATTTTTTTGAAAAAAAAATTCAAGGACCTAATTTTCACTCGGGTAATAAATAAAGACTATATTGCCAGTTTATCCTATTTCTTATTGTCTCTTTTATCATGCAAATTACTCTTTTCAATTTGGAACTTGTGCTTTGCCCTATTCAACAAACCATCATGTTGATGCACAAAATCAGTGAAGACTTTGGAACAATGTAAAGTGTCAAGTTTGTGACCTTCGCTTGGTTGCTCCGGTCACCTAGTGAGGATAATATGTAAAGAGATAGAGATAGGAAAGCAAACACAAGATGTACGTGGTTCACCTTAAGTTTGGCTATCTCCACGGAGTAGAGGAGTTCTCATTAATAATGAAGGGTTTACACAATACATATGTTCAAGCATAATCATCATTAGTAGGTTTTAATGACTAGTTTAAGTACAATAATGACATTAGGGATTAATTGTAGGAGAATGATCTCTTTTTATAGTTGAGGAGAGTCTTTAACTTTTATCCGCGGTCAATGTGGGACTCTATGGCCTTGTTTGGTACGCTGTATATAGCACCGAATAAGACTACTAATACGGAGTCAGATGCTTGGCGCCATCTCATATTAAATTGGACCGGACTAATTTAATCTGATCCACTTATTTTATACGGAATATACCCTCTTAGTAAACCAGTCCAAAATGGGCGTATTAATTAGTTGGCTCCCTTTCTTCTCTCTCGTGCGAGCTGGCACTCTTTGTCGCCGACCCCGCCCTTTGCTCTGTCTCCTTCTCTCGTCGGCTATGTTCTCCCCGTCTCTTCTGGCAAGCTATGTTCTCCCCATCTCCTCTCGGCGGCTTTATTCTCCTTGTCACCTTTGTTATCTGATAATTAGAAACGCCTACAGAGAGACGACTCGCACCACCACTACACAAATTCAGAACAATTTCACTTGGGTTTTAGGGCCTTGATTGGGAATTGATGATAGGATTTGAAAATTCAGAAAGATTTAACCTGGCTTTACAATTTGGAAAGTTTCTTCTGGTTTTAAGATTTCATATGGGTTTTTAATTTCTTTAATTTATGGG